AAAGCTCATTTTTTTGGAGTAAATGTTTTGTCGTAACTCTTACAGTGACAATCTTCTTTTTCAATCTCCACATCAGTGGAGGTCACTTGTGCCTGGAAAAAGCAGTGTTATTGATTTTATGACCCTAAAATTTAACCTTCATTACGTATCGAAACCTGTACTACTGCATGCCGATCAATCGCCATTTCTTCCTTTTTCCTTAGGCCAATTGTCGCCATGAATCACTGACCTGGTTTATGCAGCATGCAGGCAGAGTCTTGTGGAAATAGATATTTCTTTCTCAGCCCAAATATTGGATAGGGTTTTGAAAGCACTCGACGTTAGGGCGATCCTTGTATTTAACTCTGGCTGGATAATGTGACTGTTGAAAACGACGGAACTGGAATAGTTCGTAGAGTCTTTCTTCTGAAGCGTTTCACCTTCATGTTCCACTTGTAAATCAGCTGATGAGGCTGATTTGACGTCGCTCAGTTTGCTTGATTGAACTCGACATGTACTTTTCTTAACAGAGAAATCACACCCACACAACTGGCTGATTCGAAGTATCGTAAATCAACATTAGACAGCTACCAGGCTATTCGTCTGGTATCTCATGGCTCCGGAAAAACTTTCTGCGTTTCACGAACGATGATGCCAGAAAACATTAACTTTGCACGATGTCTTAATTATATGTAGATGAAGTTGTTTGTGTCGTTCAGTGACTCCTAAAAGCCTCGCGATTCAACTCCTCAAGTGGGCGTTTTCAACGGCAGCCGGGCAGTGTTTATGCGCCATTAATAGTCGAGCGTTTAGCAGGCACCGAGACTGTGTGTATTTGCGTCCATCACCCGCTTGCTTCTTTTCCTCAACGCTAGTAGTCTTCGTCCGTTTGTCACCGATGCTCATTCTTTTTTGCTGAGGCAGTGACAAGACTTATGGTTATTCGACGTAATAAATTGGTCTGCACGTTTTTCAGTTGGAAACTTTTTAATAACAGGATGAGGGCCGGAGGACGCAATTTATGATAAGTCGTATTCATCGGTCATGTCACTGAGGGCAGCGTAACCGATGAGCCCGTTTGCTGCGCGAGGGCTTTGGCTCTAGGCCTGATTGAGGTGGAGAT